AATCCCCAGCACTTCAAAAAAAAAAAACCCACAAAAAACAAAAACCCATGAAATAACAATAAAATGAATGAACACTTTCACTATCAGGTCCTAATCTTTTCTATCCATATCAAGCAGGGCCCCAAACGAAAGCTTTCTGTGCTTCCTGCAAGCCCATCTCTACACTCCCTTTTAGGGGGATTTGGGGTCCAGATTATGTCAGAACCAACAACTGGGGTTAACTGAGGTCAGTTTCAAGGCTTTTGACCTTCTGCTTAGACAGTAAGACTTTGCATCGCCTGTTCTTTGTACTTTACCATCATATCTGCCATTGCCAGTGATCTGGCCTGGAAGTGGTCAGAAAACTCCAGGGTCACTCCTCAGAAAAGGCACAAAACAAACACCGCTGAAGGTGCAAGTGGTGGGAGACAGAGCAAGAACTCAAGCACAAGGGGGAGAGAGAAGGAAGCTAGGCAAACAGGAAGAACGAGGACAGACAGAACAGGACAGTGATCTCACCAAATTACTCTACCAATGTGATAATGTAACAGAGCATCAAAAGAACACAAGGAGTTACTTTTAAAGCTTGCATGTAAGAAAGCAAACTGAGAGTATACAGCTCCAAACTACATTAAATATATAAAATCAAATTGGATAGATTAAAAAAATTAAGTATAAAAATTCAGCCTAGAAAAGCACTTGATCAATGTACACCCAAGGCACTTCATTTGTCTTTTAAAAACTTAAGGTTGACTTATAGACAACAAAATCTGTCACAAAATACTTTGTATTGGACTGTCTTTCTGATGAGATCTCAAATTGTTTTCAAATAGTTACACCTTCTCAGAGAAGAGAAGCAAGGCACACCAACTGCAAAGTAGGGCATGATTGGAATTGCTGGTGCTCACTCAGCCAGAAGTGGCTACCAGCAGCCAGTGCCAGGAGCGCCAAAGCTGGGGTCCCAAACTCACTGCTGCCATTGCCACCGCTGCCGCCGCCACCGCAGGTTGGTCCTTCACCTGCTTCCAGCTCCTTCCACATCTCAATGATAAAGACCCGATGCACAGTGATTTAGCTTGAACCTCAAGTGTCCCAATAAGCATATTCCACATCCACCAGAGATCACAGGAATATCTAAATTATTTAAGAAAGAAACAAAACCTTCTCCATGGTCAACCCTTTGTAATACCTCATTTTCAGATACAGAACCATTATTAGAATCTATAAAATGGACAAAGTTTATGTGAAATCAATAAAACACTAGCCCACATCAGTCCCTTCCCCGGGACCTTCCTTCTCACTGACTACTGTGCAGATTTTGCTTTCGCCTCTTATAAAAATAGCAGCAGCATTGGCCAAATCATAGGATGTGCACATGTGGAGTTTCCTCCTCACCTTCCCCTGAGCCCACTTCCCAGTGAAAAGCAGGGGCTATTCTGAGTGGGCATTTTCAGGATACATACAAATACACAATATCAGTGTTTTTCAGGCCCTCTTTCCTTGTTAAATTTAACAGAGGCAAAATGACACTAGATATACTGTTCTGTGGTTTCACTCATCATACAGTGATACATTGGGACATCTTCCCACAGTAACACACACAGCTGTGCATGAAGGGTTCTTGCTCCTTCAGAACTATCTTTTACTATCCTGATGCACCTGATTAGCAGAGGTACTAGTATTTGTTCTGTTTTGTTGCAGGTCAACATTTCAAAGCATTAGAGGAGCTACCTACATAAAAGGAATGCTGGAATAACTCTTTAAGAAAATAAAGTGTACTTTTAAAATATGCTACTTTCTAATTTTTTATACAATGGGATTTAAAAAATATAGTACAATCTTTCTCAAGCTAGGGTTCACTTATAATAATTTTGAAAAAGAATAAATTTAAATCACTTTTGAATCCAGTCCTTGTGATAACCCAAGGTGCTTCTCACCCCAGGGCTTCCTCAACCTAGGACTAGGAATCACTGAAGTTGCAATTTCTGGCTTTTTCACAGCTTATACTTTACAATTTCAACAAAGAATTTAGATAGCCTTGGAGGACAAAGCTCCTTCTCACAAAGCTAGCTGGGGCCTGGGGGATGGTGATATGCTGATTTCCAGGAAGAAGAGGAGAGGGAAGAGGTGGAGAAAGAGAAGAAAGAGGAGAAAGAAGAAAAGATTAAAGAGAAAGATGAGATGAAAGGGGAGGCAGTGGCAGCTACCTCTCAGGTACAGGTTTGCTCTGGAAAAGCCTCATATGTTTGAGAATTCATTTGTTAATAAAAAGCATGAGCAAAGATGACTAGTTAGAATCTTTAAGAGCACTCATTACCTAAGAACTGTAATGAAGTAGTTTACAGTAAAAGAGGTGATTAGCCTGGCGCAGGGGCTCTCACTTTCCCTCCCAGCTACTTGGGAGGCCCAGGGGCGAGGATCACTTGAACCTAGGCCTTTGAGGCAGGCCTGGGCAATATAAGGGAGGCCCTATTTCAAAAGAAGGAGACGCCAACTGCGGTGAGATGTAATGAGCATGGGTGTTACTGGAGGACTCCCCACTGAAACATCACTGGCCAAGCTGAAATGTTTTTGGTTCAGTAGGTCCGGGTATGGCCCAGAGAAGCTGTTTTTACTATGAGTTAGCAATGATGCTGACACAGCTGCCCTGGGACCTTGCTGGGACTTGGAAGCTGCGTATAATTGCAGAGGCTTAATCAGGTGATCTGCTCTCTTCCAAGAAGCATGAGTGGACTTCAGCACTCCCTGTCAAAAAGAGGAGCAACCAGGTCCCACACAACCAGGAGTCTTCAATTAATTATCAACTTCAGGCTTGTATCCACCCAAGTAAGCACACTGTTTCCCAAGTTATTTTTAGTTCTTCTTAATCATTTTTTAAGGACAAAAATGCAAAGACAATTTTAAAAAAGTCTTTTAAGTATAAGAATGATGTCTATTTCAGATGCAAAGTACAACAAATCAAACTAACTCTAAGATCCAAGCAACCCTATAACATTTTAGACTGGAGGAGCACAGGAATCAAAACACTACAGCTCAAATTCCAACAAACCCCATTTAATTCACCTCCACAAATAAAAATGTTATTTATCCAAATCTCTTACAGTTGAAACTGGGTAAGGTTAAGGCTGCTGCTTATTTTTGTTAAAAAAGTCCATTTTTTTCTTTTATCTCTGAAGCCCCTATGTGTTACATGAAATGTTCTAAGGAAGAAAGGAAAATAGGGAGAATAAATCCAAACAGGCAGAACGGCAGATGCATGCTGAGAACAGGTGGCTCAACCTTATCCCCAAATACTGTACATCACCATGGCTACTTATGATACAGTTGGACAAGTAGAGATGGCTCATCCAAGGCAATAGTAGCTATGTAACAGAATTTGGACTCACCAACTGGATATTCTAGAAATATCCCCCCTGGATCCAAAATATTAGCAAAGTCCTTTTGTGACTTACTGGAGGAACAAATAACTGCTCCTCAGTCGGGACTTTTATCTCCTTCCTTCTCCTCTAGGCAAGCCCCCTGCATAACTTCAAATAAGAAATTTTCCATACAAGTATGGGTGGGAGAAATAGATAGGACAGCACAGGGTTTGCTGTCAACAGCAAGTGAGGCTAATAATGAGCAATGTAACACAACAGTCTCCACCACACATTGGCACTGTGTGAAGTGCCACCTGCACTGTCCTAAGGATGTGATGTCCTGTTGACAGAGACGCCCTGCCATCCCAACTCTCCCACACAGTGGATGAGAAGTTACATTCTAGTCAGAACTCCAAATAACTTAGCACCATCCCAAAACTGGGAATACTGCCGAGTGTCTATTGAACAGTATCTTAAACATCCTTATGCAGATTTTAAAAAGATTCCTAATTAAGAAGGTGGCTACCCCTTCACACTGACCAGTATATTAAATGTATACAAAATATATACAGCTAGGTACCCAAATATATTGGAATACTTTAAAGAAAGTTAAGAGAAAGAATTTGTTAAGGTCAGTGGACTTTCTCTTGTCAGTATCAGTAACATTGTGGACATAACAGGAGCCATGCTAAGTATTTTCCTTAAGCTATCTCACACTGGACTGGTTGCCTATTTCAAATTCTGGTCCCGCACATTCCTACTTATGTGAGCTAACATTGCTGCACTTGTTTTCCACCTGAAAAGTGGGGTTGGAAATATCAACAACCTTCTAGAGGAGTTGGGAGATTTGAGGGTTCCTTCGTGTAGAGCCTAGCTTCAGTACATTTGAATCATCTATTTTTACAATAACCCTAGGGTACACTTACATTGTCCTGTGTCTCATCCACTATTTAGTTTAATTCTCCCTAGAATAGTTTACACTCCCAGGAAGATGGCTCTTTTAGCTAATGTGTAATAACACTGCAGCAAAAACAAGGGGTCCGACATTTGGAAGAAGACGAGGAAGCAAGACACCCTCCTAAAAATAAACACCCAAATCTTAAATGCTTATGAAAAGAACAAAAGCCACCAGAATAGGACAAAAAGTAACTGTGAACAGAAAATCATCACTGGAGTCAGTATGAGGTCTGGGAGTTCCATCTCCCTACTGTGGTCCCTCCTCTGCCTCTGGAGAAACACACACACACACACACACACACACATGCATGCTCAGTCACTGTTGTAACTCACCCACACCTGCGCAGCACCAAGCACGTCCACACCCCTCTCATACACTCCCAGTGGTGTGTGGTGGCCCAGTGGGTATGAATTCTGTGACTCAGGTTGAGCTGGCTGCTAAGGCAACACAGCTGGATTCGCAGCAGCAGGAGATTTATATTTTTTAAATTTACTTTTTAAAAAATTATTTTTTAACTTGAAAGCCTGTTGTCTTTGTGCCTCACATATTTCTTGGGTATTTAAAACAAGCAAGTGAACTTGCAGCTCTTTTACTACTCCATAGTGACAACTGTCAGCAAACAACAATGCCAGATCCAAACAAATCAATGCCATCAGAAACAATGTGCCTAGCCTGGTGGATTTAAGCTTCCATGGAATTCTTACCTGGTGCTCCTGTGTACATGATGGAAAAGACATTTATTGCTATGGTAGCAGCATAGAAGAGAGGAAGTGCCCGGAGGCCATTGGGAACGGGATCCTCCTGTGTAACAAAGACGTAAAGTGTGAGGTCAGGACTCAAGAATATCTGTCCTGGGACAACATCACGACATAGGTCACTGCTGGAGTCTTACCAAATCCCAGTGCAGCCCGGTGAGCTGCCGCACATCTACAGAAAGGGCTGGGCCAGGGCACCCCTCCTATACAACAATTTCCAAGGGTCCACTGTTTGGCAGTGGGCCCATTAAAGCCCCTGTGTCACATGAGCTAATGTCAGGGGCAGAAACAGAAGCGAATTGTGAGAGGAGCTCAGCAAATGCTTCCACGAAACCTGTGGAGCTCTCCACTCTAGCTGAGCCTATGTCTGCCCCAGAACATCTATCCTGGACAATACTTGGAGGCCAACCTCTGAAGCTTCTCTAAGAGTCAAATGGTTTAAAGATCATTGCCTTACTGTTAGACTTTATGTGACTATAACACAACACATCTTAGCCACATTGAATGTATAAAGCAAATATTTTTCCATATGCTAAGATCTTCCAAATCTTTTTGTAAGGCATAGTATTTGACCTTCAACTATTAAAAGTTAGAAAGAATTGTGGGTTCTTTGTCTTCAAAAGAACAAAAGTCATCAGGAAGAAAAGAGTAATTGCACTTTTCCCAAATCTGAAAGTGTCTTGGGTTTGTTTTTCAACTGCATCATCTTATGTTTTTTGTGGTGCCAGGGATCACACCAGGGTTTCTTACATGGCAGGCAAGTGCCACTTCCGTACACCACCAGCCTGAAATAACCTACTTGTAAAACTCAGGTGACAAATGTGTCTCTGAAACCTCTCTCCTTTTCACTCCTGTCCCTCCTTTATTCTGTCCATCAGTCACAGCCTGTCATACATCCAAGCTTCCAGCACTCAACAAATATTTCACAAATGTCTTCAAGTGCTAAGTACTGAGAATTGGAGTCCCAGAGTGACCAAGACAGTTAACTTCTACTTCACTGATCTCACAGTGGAGCAGCAAACAGGCAAAGAAGCAAGGAACGAAACACTGTGTGGTGTGCCAAGCTCGGGGATGAGAAAGCAGCACACTGTGTGGGAGAAAGTAGGGAAGCCATGGAGTCAGGTGGGAAGGCTTCTTAGGAGGGAACGGTGGAGGCTGAATGGGATGGTGCCAGGTGAGAACAGGTTCCAGGCAGAGGAAATAGGGTGGCAGCTGGCAGGCAAGAGAGGTCAGCACCTTCTAAACTGCAAACAGATATTAATGTGGCTGCCTGGAGCCAAGGAGAGGGAATGATGAGAAATGATGATGGCAAGTCTGCACTTACTTAAGAGAATGAGCCCTTTAGCAGACTACTGGGTGATGCTAGAAGAGCTGTATTTTTAAGCCCTGTGTGCATGAGATGCTAAGAAGTGTTTATTTAGCAGTCCCCAGGGATGTGTGTGGAAATGTCCCCAGATGCCCAGGGCATGCCTGAGACCATGAGGAGAGCACTGAACCCCATATATACTATGTTTTTCCTATACATCTGTACCCAGGATAAGTTTATCAGTTAGGTACAGTAAGAGGTTAACAACAATAACTAAAGTTCTGTGAGTGTGGTCTCTCTCTCTCAAAATATCTCATCGACTCTACCCACTTTTTCCTTGTGGTGACAATGTGAGGCAAAACTATGGTAATATGTGAAGTGAAGTGAGGCGGCTAACTTAGGCACTGTGTGACACAGCACTTGGACATTATGTTAAGTGAAAGTAACAAGGCACATAAAGTCAAGAACTGTATGTTTTCACTTATTTGTGAAAGCTAAAAATGTTGATCAAAAAAAATGCTGATCAAACAGAAGTAGAGAGAGGGTAGGAATTATAGTTAGGTGAGGAAATAGATTGCTATAGCTTAATTCTTGAATCTTCCCAGAGGCCCATGTGTTGAAGGCCTGGTCCCCAGTCATAGCACTAATGGAAGGTGGGGGAACTTTGAGGAGGGTCCTTGTAGCAGGAAGTTAGGTCCTGGGGGCATGTCCTTGCTTCCCAGCCTCCAGGTGAACAGGCCCCTCCACCACACTCTCTCTGCCATGCTAGCTCATAGGCTCAACCCAATGGGGCCATGTGACCATGGACCAAAACCTCTGAAACCATGAGCCAAGATAGAGCTTTCCTCCTGTGTTTATTTTAGGTATTTTGTCTGATGATAGAAAGCTAACACATAATTCTAATGTTATATAACAGAATAGGGCAAATATAGTCTACCACGACTCATTTCAAAACGATCAGAGAAGAATCAGGTGATTCCAAATACATAGGTACGTAATGAGAAGATGGAAATGCTAGTTACCCTTTGATCATTGCACATTGTACACATGCATCAAAACACAGCATTGTACCCCATAAGTGAGTACAAATATTAGGTGTAGATTTTAAAAATTAAATTAGAATACATTTTAAAAAGAAAAAGATACTGCAACTACCTCTTAAGAAAAAAATGACAATCATTTTTTTCCAGAACATTGATCTCAGCAAGCTCTAATTTTAATCTTATTTCTTTTTAGACAAAATGTACTCTCATACAGGTATATTTCCTTCTCTGTATCCTTCCCTCAAACAAAGTCAATGACCCAGTTTTCTTTTTCTATTTAAAAAAATAGAAAACCCCTTACATTTGGGTAAGGAGTGTTTCCAGCTGTCTTTAATGACAACCGACTTGGAAAACATACTCTCTCATCCCATTCTGTTCAACATTCAAGAAATAATTACCTGCCCTGATTGAAGCTGAACACAGCTCCTGGGAGTGCTGACTGATGAACTCAATCACAAAGCCAGGTAGCACTACTGGAGATGCTGGTCCATAGGGACTTCGGGGCACTTCATGTAGGCACTCGTGGTGACTTGCAGTAACAGCTGACTCTAGTCAGGTGCTGCAACTTTAGAGTCCAAGGTGCTGGGCCTTAGCCACACAAAGACAATTCTCCCTCCACCCCTCCCACTGTGAGTTCCTAACCAAAAATAGTTCTAAAATGTAAGAGAACAACAGCCTCACTTACCTTTTTTAAGATGAACATTCTGATCAGTATAAACAGCACGCCAGACATGAAACCAGACAACAGTGGAGATATAAACCAAGAAGCAACTGAACGATTAAAAAAAAGTCTGGTGAATGTTAAATTCATACATAATTGAGGCCATATTTATATAATAAAGTGATAACAATGTACACTGTTGAATGCTTGTAGATATTCCCACAATTGCTCACTTTAATGCAGAACCATCCAGCCGTCTTGGACTCTTGCATGCATCATTCTGCTGGTACATAAGCCCAGGCACTGAGGGATTGTCCTGCCTCACCACGGCCCCTGCCAGTGCTTTTCCAGGACCAGGCCCAGCAGGCACATTCCTTGGCTTCCCACGGGACCCTTTCACCTGCTTTTAAAAATCCATCTCTATGGACCCGGCACCTGCTCAGACAGTGAGGTTTACTCCAATGGTAGGCCACGTCCCACCCCACCCCCAAGTCTGGCCTGGTACTGTCATTCCTGACATCTAACCACAGGGAGCTTTCCACCTTCTACTTTCTCTCCTGGTAGCTCCCTGCTACGGCTAACACTGGACCCATCTGGGGAGTTTTCACAAACCAGCTATGCTTGTAGCTCTACCCTGAGAATCCTGATGGATTGACATGGTTTTTAATGAGGTCTGGGCATTAGTATTTTAAAATCACACCTGCAGGGACTTCTCAAGCGCTGCCAGAGTTGAGAGCCAGTATGCCAGAAGCCTGAGATATAAAATGGTTTTCTTGGTGGCCTGTGACCCTGCTGGGCAGGTCGGGGATCCAGTCTGATCTAGAACTCCCAATATACACCCATGTTTATAGCAGCACAATTCATAATAGCTAAATCTTGGAAGTCGCCTGTATGTCCACAAGAAAATGTGGTATTTATACACAGTGGAGTACTTCTGTGTTGTGAAGAAGGATAAACTTAACTCATGTATAGGAAATGGTTCTGGTAAAACAATGAAAAATCCAGGGTACAGAGGTAGGGCAAAAGAGCATTCTTCACAGTATGTGGGTTGAGTGCTTTATCTTTTGCCACAAGGACAGCCAGGAAGTCAGCAGTTAGAACTCTAATATTAGGTACAGGCCTGTCTTGGGCCCTGCTAGGCAGCCTACACCCAGAAGGAACACCAGAGAACTTCCTCCCAGGGTGGCTGGGCGGTAAATAGCCCCGGCCTCCTTTTAAGGGCTTCCTCAGACCATGGGTGCAGACTTCTGGATTCAAGGCATTTTCCTTACTTGGGCTTGGTCTTTCTCTGAACTTTAGACTGAATTCAATCAAATAAATTTCTCTTCTGCCTGGGAAGAACAAATAGGTATTGATTTTCAAGGCTGAATGATGATGTAACATTTTAAGAGTAGTCTGAAAAATTATCTAACACACAGGGTTCACAATCTCTACTCACAGAATGTTTCAGGTTAAATGCATTACCCATACCACAGAGGGCTTCTAAATCTTAACATATGAAGGAAGAAAATACATTATAAAGTAACTTTTTGTAAAACTTACTCTAGTCAAGGTAAATTTTCCTTCTTATAGGTAAAAGAAAATGGCAATTACCAATCTTGACAAGCTCCATCCACTGCACACCTTTTGTACCAATTGCAACAAGTGAGAATCCTATAGTAGAACCAACAATGCAATGAGTTCCTGAGATTGGGAGTCTCAGGAAAGATGCGATCAGCTGCCAAACAGCTGAGCCTGTAGGATGAAAGATTAAAAAAGTCAGACATACAGTAGAGTCTTAGCTACCAAGGGGAGAAATTCAAATTGTTATTCTTCACAACAATATCTCCCTGAGCTCAATTTTCCACGGATCATTTCTCTATAACATGCAAAAGTTCTAACCAAAAAACATTTGACCCAGCTGTCCCCCTTCTGTCTTCTCAAAAGAGTTACAGCCCCCAGCGACCAGCCAGCGGACCGTGAGAACCTCAGCCGCGTGGAGCCCACTCTATCCCGCCCTTGCACCGCTCCCCCTGCGAGTGCCTGTAGCCTCCCATAACCCCTCTGGGCTCCTGGTTGTACTGCTACCTGGATCCACACTACAGAGGTACAGGGGGTCATAAAGGCCACTGTCTTGAGCTCCAGAAGATAGAGCAGAAGTGAACAACAGAAAGAGGGCTCCTCTCAGGCTCCTTGATGAAAACTGAAGCCCACTGGAAAAGTAAAGAGAATCTCTGCAATAAAGGCACACCAGACCACCGTACTTGGTAAGTTGGAGGGATCATTATCTCTCATTAGAACTTGCACTATCTTCAGGGGAAAGACAGCTGGAACCTGCAGTAGAACCTTGCAGAGTTCAACCCTGCAGGAGGACAGGGAGCTCAATTTGGGACTTGCAGCCAGAAATCTGCCTGAATCTCATGGGTCTGCTACTCGCTTACTGAGACTCATTGACTTATATCTGCACACTGCTGCCCATGTTGTCTATTGTGACAGCAGAGACATACCCTGAAGGAGGCCCTTCATTTTCATTTTTATTTTTTATTTGTTATT